TTCTTCGTTGGGAACCTTCATAAACTAAAATTTATTTCTCCATTTTAGGACATAATTTATCTATTATTTTATGTAAAATCTGGCATATTAATTTCTCAATGCTCTGTTCCCCTCTCATTGTTACTATTATGTTGGGCATGCATACTGAAGCTAGCTACAATATGAGTCTTTATCTCCTTTGAATAAATTTCAAACATCTTATTCTCTTAGGCAATGTTTCATTCGTTTCATCAGAAAGGTCTACGACAAGAACGGAGCAGAAGGCCAAGAGTAGACAACAAAGGCTTTTGAGTTTTATGCTTAATTCTATAGGCATCGTTTCTCTTTAGGATTATTTTTGCTTGGTTATCTTTGTTTCATTTTATCATGTGTACATGAATGTCCTTTGAATAGATGGAAATTTTGCTTGTGAGTTAAGGAAAAAATATATGAGCCGATCAGTTTAAAGCGAATTATATTAAATGAAGATAAATTTTTTTTCCAAGTTTAACTAGAGCTTGTGTGCGTTCTAATTTTTGTCACGTCACTTTGTGTTCGTCTTAACACATGATTGTATAGGTAATACTATTGTAAGTTGATTTCAATTATATTCTCCATGTTGCTTTCATTAACAAGCATGGATATAATGATTCGGGATAATAGAAATATAGATGACTCTAAATGACATGCATATTTACTATGATTAAGTCGATACAATCACCTCGTGTCTAGATTGAGTTGTTTGAAATATTACTATATGTACTGTAACGACCCGACCGTCACCTCTCTAATGGGCCCCATGTTCACCACCAATCCATGGGTCTACCTCTTTTAATGGGCTTCACGTCCTCTCACTAGACCCATGAGCCCATTAATATCCGACGGCTAGTTTGCTACGTCTGGGAGGCTTAAAGACTTGTTTACCGACCCTACAAATCACCACATGATCTTTTGATGTGGACATCAAAACTAGATCAAACCGGGAGCACACCAACCAATCGGTCCACATACCAAACCGGTCTACGTAGAGTATTTTAGAGAATCTTTGCCTAAATGGAGTTCTGATCAAGTACAAGGCGAAGAGTTAATTATTCACCATGATATTAACCTTAAGAAGTCCAATAGTTCAAGAAGGATCAAAACTCTGCAACTCAACTCACCTTATTGTTGGGATATGACTGTTGCACTCTTTTTCCCATATTTAGGGTTTTTCCCAATGGGTTTACCGAGAAAGGTTTTTAATGAGGCAACACCAAATCATCAAGGAATCATTCATCATCCATATGATGAAAAGATGATAGCTGATGTACATTCTGATCTACTCGCTGATGGACATGTTGAACTAATCGCTGACAAGCATGCTAAACTACTTGTTGATAGCCTTGTTGAACTACACCAGATTGCAAGCTGTGAGGATTTGAAGTCTTTTAACATTTGGATCAGTCATGAAGGGAGCCCACACACTCATTTGATTCATTACAAGGACAAAAACCATGGAAAACAACCCAAGAGAAGATCTAAGTCCAAAATATCCTTTGAATCAAGGTTGTTGATCTACATCGAGCAAGATAAGGAAACTGTCATTTACTTTCATTTGGACGTGGTCCAAAGTTACATATGGAAACCAGGAGAATCTCTACAGCCACTAGATAATATTTGGAGAATAATCACACATAATAATATTCATTGGATCAAGCGGATTCAATCATATTATTACTCGCCTTTTTCAGACTCGATCATCATCAATGCACAACAACTCTTTCCTATTAAGTGCATGTGTGTGATACAGCATCTCCAAGTGCACAAGAAGCTTTCAAGCGTCATAATTACCTCCCAAGTTGACGAGATACAAGGCACACCTCACTTGCCTTCCTTGGACCGATTTGACTTTTAATGGTCCAACAGCCATATTTTCATTAATTGTTGTGATTTGTTTCTTCTTTCTAGGTTTAGAACGTGCAGCTGAGCCTATATAAGCTCATTAGATTGTTCATTTGTAATTATCCTTGATCAATTTTAAAGTAATAGAAAGTTTTCTTCTTGTCAAAGTTTGACTCTTTATCAATCTTGTTCTTTAGTTCTTTGTGAGTAAGTCACTTAGTTCTTTAGAAACTTGCGGGTTAAGGTTTTTGTGTGATTCAACATCCTTCATTCGTCCATTGATCGAGTGAGTCGATTATCCCACTGATTGAGCGAGTCAATCACCTGATCTATCCCCTGTCCCACACCTTGATTCACGAAAGAGTGCATCTGGCCAGCTCGTGAATTCCACCTTCCGCAAGCTAAGCTTGGAATCTCTTGATCATCAAGTGGTCTAAAGTTTTGAGTGATTCCAATCTTGTATCATCTTTACCTTGGTTTTTGGCCTCACTCACACAGTTCAGACAACAACTTCCCGGAAGGTCATCCATCATTTGACTACTCCAGCATAAGCACGCTTAACTGTGTAGTTCTCTCAGGACCCTTGACCGCAAAGATAAGATCACTTTGGTAACATAGGTGGCCAAATCAATTCATTTAAACCTCTTTGCAAACTGGGGTTTCACAATTCTCCCCCACTACCAGACCGCAACGTCCTAGTTCCGCACAATGATCATCACCCCCTGCCAGTGTGAGCCCACCACACCACACTTGTCTGTGTTCAGCTCTGATACCACTTGTAATGCTCCGAGCGTCACCTCTCCAGTGGGCCCCATGTTCACTACCAGCTCATGGGCCCACCTCTCTTAATGGGGTTCACGTCCTCTTACTAGACCCATGAGCCCATTATTATCCGACAACCGGTTTGCTACATCCGGGAGGCTTAAAGACTTGTTTACTGATCCTACAAATCACCACATGATCTTTCCCTGTGTTTGGCCTCACTCACCCAGTTCCGACAACCACTTCCCGGAAGGTCACCCTTCCTTTGACTACTCCAGCATAAGCACGTTTAACTGTGGAGTTCTCTCAGGACCGTTGACTGCAAAGATAAGTGGACTTTGGTAACATAGGTGGCTAAATCAATTCATTTAAGCCTCTCCGCATACTGCGGTTTCACACATACAATTTAGATGTCACAGCTGATAATATATATAGTTCCTTTCCCATTTGGAAACAAATTTTTTGACCTCTTCCCATAGCTGAATTTCTAGACACATTCACACCAAACGAAGGGTATCTAATCATGAATTAACTTAAACTTTTTGAATTAATAATAAGTTCAATCCAGTGATTTTGTGGTTTTTTGTTTTTACATGTTTTAATTATTTTTATGTGTTTAATTAATATTTTGGCAAAAAGAGTTATAATGTTGAAAAATGACTCTGATTTCAAAAGACTAGGTCAGAATCCGCACTATGCTGCAGAGTTGCATTTAGTTTTTTTTTTCAATTACATGAGTGCAGTTTCTTATGCGGCTAAAGATATTCATTATGAAATCATGTATGTTTATACAAAAATTTAATTTGGAAAATTAAGATCAAACTAAGTTACTTTACTTTAGAAAAACCAAGTGATATGACTATCACCGAACAAAACCTGGAGCTTGTAGCCGAGGAACAATCCGTAGAAGAGAAGCAGCTCGTACCCAAGGAGCATCTCGTACCTGAGGATGAGCTTGTAGCTGATTAAGTGCTTGTAAAGAAACTAATCAAACCGCCATGGTTTTAGTTCAAATCTCCTCAATGATCATCACGGCTCAAGGGGGTTCGGTAAAGGGATAAGTGTTGCTTATGCACTCTTTTTCCCTTGTTAAGTTTTGTCCCATTGGGTTTTCTTGACAAGGTTTTTAATGAGGCCTAAGTAACACTTTCAAGGCCATTTACCAAGCCCAATTCGTGGGTCCAAGGCTCATCACTTTCTTTTGGCCCATTTTCTATCTTTTCTCTTCATTCTTGCATTTAATGTTCTTTTGTTATTTCCAAGACTTGGTGCATTGACTTGCATGAGTGTATTTCCAAGGCACTTGTGTATTTCCAAGGCACTTGTTCATGCTCTTGCAAGTTCTTCTTCTCTCTCTTTCCCCGCTACTATATAATCCCCCTCTATCTCTCATTTGTAAGAGATCTAATCTTTTATCAAAAACTCTTTCTAAGTTAGATCACTCTCTCTTGTTCTTTCTTTGGTGTGTAATATCCTTAGTGAAGTCCAAGTTCGGTAAATCAAAGGCTTTTCCGCAACCTTTGTGCGACCATTCGCTCCACATCCTTTGATCTAAGAGATCTCTCGATCCCTTAGGTGCAAAGCCTATCATTCCCTCAACTTCAAGAGTGTCGATTCTCGGAGATTCGTATTACCAAGGTCTACAAGCGATTAGATAATGCCAAAAATAGTCATCTTGTCATTATAGAATTGAGTGTGAGACAATATAGAAATTATGATATGGTTTTAAGTCAAATTGAAGTTGGGGAAGAATATGGTGGTGGTGATTTCCACGACGGATTCTTTATCTACAAGAAAATCTTTCACTTCATATTGAATGCATGCACTATGTTTAACTTTTTAGGAACATATTTTAGTTTAAAATCACATTATATAGACACAACAAAGTAAATTTAAATAATAGAAAATCAAGGACCTCAACGTGGTATTTAATTCAGGGAATAAATTATAAATAGATAATCAAAAAGATATTATAATAATTACATTTAAACACAAAAATTTACTTTATAAGATCATAATTAAAAGTGCCTCTAAAATAACTTTGATAAAGTGTCAATATAGAGGTTTTCCTTTTCTTTTATTTATATGCATGATCTATAGAGTATTTAATAAGTGTTAATTACACCTAAAGTTTCTTTATCTTTGGTTTATAAGCTTTTCATTATGTAGACCAAATCCAGCAAAAACTTAATTAAAAAATATTAAAAAGTTTTTAGTTAAATTATGCCTCTAGTGAATCTTTGTTATGAGAACTAGTTATATCTTTTAGGTGTGTGAATTTGTCAACTTTTAATACTAGATATTTCTTTCTTTCTTTTTTGTTAAAATTAGATTTTTCTGTCCTAAGGTTCCTTTGTTGGTTTAAAAAAAATAAAAAAAAGGGCTCATTTCTTGTTTAGATACATAATGTCTTCCCTTACCTTCTCTTATATTTTTCATCTAAGTGCAACTTCTTCTCATATCAAAACATGGCTTCTGGTTCTAATTCAAGAAAAAAGAAAGCTTCAGGTTCAAAAGAAAAGAAAAATATGGCTTCAGGTTTGTTCTTGTTTACTTGTTGTCATTATTCTCGTAGGGCTGAGTTTCCAGTCACATTTTATTATGTTCTCAATTAAATTATATCCCCAAAACACAATATTCTAGATCCGACCATCATAATAAGAAGATCAAACTACGATTAGTATTATTTTTTTCATGCATATCCAATTTTCAATACCATGTTTTGTTTTTGAAATGCACCCTACTTTAATTGAGATAATTTTATTTCTGAATACTCCTAATTTGATTACAAATACACAAAACCTGCCCCTTCAAAACTCCATCTGTAACTAGTCCAATCCAAAAAATTTCGAAAGAAATGACATCAAAACATGGCTTCTAGTATGTATTTTCTTTAATTGTTGATTGTTTATGATATTATATCTCTCTTTTGAATTGATACCTAAAATTTTACAATATGTACAGGTAGTAGCACTGCTTGTGGAGACACTACAATTGTTTCACCGACAAGAATTCACAAGGCAACTATAGTCTGGCTTCATGACATCGGCCATAATGACCAAGTGTAACATAATCTGACAATCACATACTTTACTTTTTATAATATATATATATATGGTTCGTTGTTTTCAAGTATCAGAGTAACCCATTCCGTTTTAACAAAAGTTTGAAGCAAGTAACATATTTTAGTAACAATGTAACTTTTAATCACGTTCAGAAAATTTTCTAACATTTAATTTTTTTTTTTGGAAGAAACATGCGTGGAAGTGAAAAGTATTTTTTTATTTTTAAGTTTAATATAGCATGTTTGACAAATTTTATGATTTGATTTGATTTTGTTTGAAGTATGGTACATAATATTTTTTTCCCTTAGCTTTTTGTATTATATTTCATTTATTATGAGCTTACTTCAAAAAAGTTGCATGTTCATTTATGTACTGCAAGTGTATCTCTCACTCTATATGTCTATTCTTTCTGCATGCAGGTCAGCTATGTTTGTACGTAAATTGAATCTTCCAAATGTATGAATCCATGCACATGTTAATTTTTCCATAAATCTGAATATATATTAGCCAAACAAAAGTTTTTAATTAGAAGTAATGATTTTTATGCATAGGTAAAATGGATTTGTCCGACTGTTCCAACACGTCCCCTTACTTTATTGGGTGGAACCCAAACTACTTCTTGTAAGATATATTTAATTTGGATTTAATCTTCCGAAAGACACTAGTTCTATTTGATGTCTTTTAAAATTCTAATTAAAAAACTAATAACATTGTATATTAAATCTTTTTGATGACTTAGGGTGCGATGTCACAGGAATTTCTGAGCACATGGAAGACGATATGGTTTCTATCAATTCTACAGTTGCTATTGTTGTTAACCTTCTAAATGCTGAACCAGGCAATGGTAACCCATAATCATCATCTAACATAACATGCATCAAATAAAATACGTCAAATCTATTAATCCAATTGGTTTTTGATAGTCATGTTAGGACTAGGAGGTATCGGCATGGGTGCAGCGGTAGCTCTCTACTCTGCAACTGCAACTTGTTATATCACTGTTGAAGGTTCAGGTCTGATTCAAATCCTATTAGCTTTGGTTGGTTTGATTGAAACTTAGAAGAATTGATCAGGCGGTTATCTCCGGTTTAGAAGATTGTTGATTGAACCAGATAAAGAAGGAGCAATGCAAAGTCTCTAACTGCAGTGGAGAGTTTGTTATATTCTGAAACGGATCGTTTCATCTTTTATCACTTCTTCATTTTTCTGTTTCAAGTCTGTTGTATCGAGAGAGAGAGAGACTTGTGAGAGAGATCCGCCATTGTTGTAAAGCTCAAGTTCGAGCTGGTTCTTACTCATTTTGATAGTGGATTTGCCGGATTGATTCGGCCCCAGACGTAGGTGTGATCACATCGATCACGCTGAACTGGGTAACAAATCGTGTGTTCTTTGTTCTCGTTTCTTTACTTGCACAAACTCAAACACAAAGCGATCGTATTCAAAAGATAGATTCGAGTTAGAGTTCATCTCAGATCGTTGTTCTTGGTACTCGATTTCTAACAGATTGGTATCAGAGCCAGGTTCCGCTCTTGAATCGATCGATGGCGACGACGACGACAAAGTTCGAGATAAAGACGTTCAATGGCGATTCAGATTTCTCGCTGTGAAAGATCAGGATACTGGCACAGCTCGGTGTTCTCGGACTGAAGAGCATCATCCTTGACCCATCTTTAACAAAGATTGTGCCTCTGTCCAAGAGTGAGCTGAAGAAACCAGCAGAAGGAGATCCCTCAGATTCCGATGTACCGCAAACCAAAGAAGTGCCTGACCAGCAGGCTCTTAACATCATCATCAATCATATCGGTGACAAGGTACTCAGAAAGATAAATCACTGTGAAACTGCAGCTG